GCAGATGCAAAGGCATCAACAGCCCTTGCCAAGCCTGCTCACATCCAGATCCTACAGGAAGGGAGTTACGGCAGTAGTGACCTTAGAGATAACCTCTGGGCTCCTCTCCCTGGTGGGATGAGGCTGCTGCAGTCTGTCCTTGCTCCTGTCTGTAGCATTTGTTGTGGGCCAAGGGCATTGCTCTATTGGGGAGGACTGTCCTCATGGTGAGCAACAGCTTGGCTCAGGGCAAGCAGCCTGCAGTCGTGGCAGGAGACCGTGCCTCTCCTCCTTTGACAGTGGAGCCCAGCACACGCCTCTCCTGGTAGGTCTTGCTTCTGGTGCAGCCCTTCTCCTTTATCTGCTCCTAAGGGGTCTGGCAGTTTCAGTATTTCTTTAGGGCTGGAATCACTTGATCTGGATAAGTCAGTTTTGCTGGGTGTCTCATCTAGAGTCCCTGGGAGGATGGGAGGTCCTCCCTGTGGCTGTAATGGGGATGGACTGACTCCTCTCAGCAAGTGGTCTTTAGCATGTCCACCTGCACAAGGATTAGGAGTTCCTGCTAGCCCAGGACAGGCCTTGCCAGGTAGGGGCAGAAGTACTTATATTGCCCTGTCTGCCACAGCAAACCTGAGGCTGAAAGCATCAGCTGTGTCCTGCCTGGCACCTTCACATATGGTGCTTCATGGTGGTTGACTGTGGCACTGTCCATCAGCTTTCTCCCTAATACCCATCTGAAGTCATAATTCACTGGCTGATCAGAGCTACCCAAGAGGGATTGTGGAATAATCTGCATAATAATATTGGGGAATTAGGCGACTCCTGAAGAATACCTGAGCCGCTGGCTATAGGCTGTGATTGAATGTGAATTAAAGATGTAATTAATATATTCCAAATAAATGTCAGGGATAGGCCTCCAAATGTCTGTCTCAGAGTTACTTCCCATGTGCACCACCTCTCTCCTTTTGGGGAAAAATATGCTGGATTCCTTCTCCAGGTGCCCTCTGCATCTTCTCTTCCCAGCAGAATAAAGCTGTACTTCTTCCTTGAACACTGGCTATTTGTGTGTTTGGTTCAGAGGAGGAGTCTTGTAAGGGGAGCTGCAGCTGCTTCTGTTCAGGAATAACATCTCTGAGCTTGCTGCTTGCACTGTGCTGTGCAGATACCTCCCTTCCCACCGTCTGTGTGTGGTGTGGGTTGGTTTGCACAGCTTTTCCAGGGAGCAGCTTGAGCACAAAGCCTGGGGGAGTGCAGCTCTGGGGGTTGCAGCCAGTTTGCTCAAACCTGGAGCCAAGTTCACCTCACTGCAGCATTTGGGAAGTGATGACTGACGGCAAGAGGCCAAGGCTCCCTCCTGGCATGCTTGGGAAGTCCTGCATCAGTTTCATGTGGTTAACAAGGGAAAGGTCTGCTTGGCAACCACAGAGGCTCAGAGGCTGCTGGGTCCTGGCTATATTTAGTGTTAACCAAGTTCTGGAGGAGGGGAAGGCTTTCGCTTGAGAACATCCTGTTGCCTCGAGTGCACTGCAGCTGATTCACCATCAGTGTTTGCTTTGGGTGGTGGCAAGGTGTACATGAACAATGTGGATCTGGGGAAGGGGCTGAGTGGAGACAAGGAGCCCTGGCATGTTTCTCTTCCTGCAGATGAGATGTGCTGTGTGGGGTAGAGCTGGGGATGGGGCTCAAGTCCTTGAGTTTCTGTGCTGGGATCGTGTCATCTTTCTCAAGTCATCCTCTGCAGTCCTGGGCTTCTCAGAGAAGAAACAATTGTCATTTTCTCTCTTGGGAGAAGCAGTTAAGAGTTGGTGAAGAAAGGAAGTAGCCCAGGTTGTCCCTTCAAGTGGGTGCTGAGTGCATGTGTCAGTGCCACGTGTCCCTTGGGTTATCCTGCATTCAGACTGGTTGCACCCTGGCATGCTGTTTCACAGGTGTGTTTTGGTCTTGATCTTTCTGGTCTGCAGTCATTTCCAGTTACTGGTGGATCTTTCACAGTCCCACACGTGTGCAGTGCTGATGTGGGAGAAGGGGGCTGAAGCAGGGAGTGTGGTGTCATTCCTTTGAGGGGATGCTTCCTGAGGCTGGGAGTTTCTGTTCTCACTGTGTAGGGGAATTTCCAAGCTCTGTGTTTCTGGTTTTTCTTCCTCCTTAACATTAGGGTGTTTATCAACCAAGGAGAAAAGTGCTCAACTCTAGGAGTAAGTCAGACTGGCATCAAGGAATGCCTCTCATGAACCACTGTTTTTTCCATCACAAATAAGAGTGAGCAAAGGGAAAACCTTCACTTGGACCTTGCTGAGGTTTGCTGCCCCACTAAAGCAAGCTGAATGCAACTCTGGAGTTGGAGGAACATGCCCTGTCCCCTGGTGTCGCTATGTCCCACTGCACTTAATGCAGGTTTAACGTGTGAGCAGTGTCCTGGCCCACACCTGCATGACCAAGGTGACAGCCCAAAGGTGACATCCCTGCCCACCTGTGCAGTATGGTATGCTGAGCCTGAGCTCCTGAGAGCAGTATGTCCTTGTGGTCATACTTCTTCACCTCTTCTGCCAGCTCTCCAAAACCCGCCATGGAAAAGGGTCTGTAGTATCTGCCTGGATGCTTCTGCAAGAGGCACTTGCCACCTCAGAGCATTGGATGGCAAATGCAGCTGGGATACATGCTGATCCTCATCCTGGGACCCAGCGGGAGGATGTGTTCCTGTCTCCAGCCCTCGAGGGATACTTTCTCCTTGGCTTTTTCTCACCGTTGGGTGTCTTGAGTTGTGAGGTATGGAACAGGAGGGTGATTTTCAGAGTTGACAAGGGACTCTTCTCCAGCTTCCAGGATCTGTAGACCAGAACATTAGTGTGCATGAGGCAGAAGAAAGACTGCCAGGAACTGTCTGATGCTCTCAAATTGTTTTACTGTCCATCCACATGCTGAGGTTTAAGGGGAGACAGTGAGTGCAATTGGTGTGTTGCTATCCATGATCCAAGGAAAGGCACCCTGCTGCTTCTCCGAGGCTGGAGAAGGAGGTTTCTGGTGCATATCCATATGGAGCCTCTGGATCTACCTAGGCTGGGAATCTGTAAGGGTGACCGTGTTGGAAAGGTGTTCTCTTCCTGATTGCAAAGGGCTTGGGAAGTTTGGTGTCCTCAGCAGCTGTGGACAAGGCTGAACCCTGCTGCTTTGTGTCTTATCGCTGCATGGGAAGGCAGCAGCGTCCGGGGGAGAGAGCAGGGAGGAAAAGTGGAGGAGAGGCAGTGTGCACGCCCTGGTTTTGCAAAACCTATGGGATACAGCTGGGTAAGCAATAGGGCTGACGCAGGCTGGAGAAGGATGTGGGGAATGGGAAAACAGAGGAAACAGAAAGCTGGCTCTGGCTTTGTGCCTGCGCATGCCGAAGGGCAAGTGACTGGCACTGACTTGCAGGGCTTTGTTCTGGGTGGTAGCAGCTTGCTGCAGGGATGAATTGCCAATGTGGCCTAAGATTGCCATCTGTGAGAGGCAGGAGAAGAAGGTGAGATGCTCAGGGAGACCCCATCCGTGACCTGAAACCTGAACTTGTGCCTAGGGCCGCCCGGACTGCTGTCAGGCAGCCTGAGCTGGTTCACTTCCCAGCAGTGCTGTGTGCTGAGGCTCTCCAGTCAGGCTGAGGCTGACTCACAGCCCAGTGGTCACAGCCAAGTCAGGTCAGCCTGGCCTGGAGGGGAAGAGATGGTCTCTGGAGATGGGAATGCTGTCAAATATTCCAGCTTCTCAGGCAAACAGCCTTGCCCCTCTGCCTGCTAGGGTGACCTCCTCTGCCAGGCATGTGTTCCCCTCCCTGTTCCCTCTCACCAACACTGTCCTCAGCTCTGCAGCTGGAGGTTGCCACCCAGGTACAGAGCACATGGTTGTGCCAGCCAGGAGGTGGGAGCATGGAAAGATCCATGGGCAGGCTGTGGTAGGCAGGTTGGGACAAGCAGCGTAGTCTTTGCAAAGCAGTGGGCTCAGCAGAGTATTTGCAGTGACTGGGATCAGGAGCAGCTCAGCTGGGCATCTGCAGCCAGTGTGATCCTCAGGTGGTGAAGCAGCTCATTTGGCACCAGGAGCACCTGCTTTGCCCTCAACAGTGGATGCTGTGGGGCAGGAGCAGAGCATCCCTAGCCAGCCTAACCTTGGCTCTCGCTGTCCAGGGCAGGCATGTGGCTGCCAGGTAGTGATGCAGTTAACACTGCTGTGTTGCACAGCAGCCAAGGACTCGTAGGACTAAGGAGAAAGGACTGAGGCAGGCTTTGGGATTTGTGCCCCAAACTGTGCTCTGAGTTGTGTCGCAGTGACGGGGTCCGGTGTGACCCTTGACGGTGCAGCCAGTGCCTGCTGCAGTGCCAGCAGAGTCGGTGCTAACCATCCACACCCAGCCCTCATGTGGTGTGTGAGGTGCTGATCCCTGTGCCAACAGTGCTCGTGGGGATCTTGCACCGGCAGCCAGAGCCACGTGGCTCCTCAGCCGCTGACTCTGCAGTGCCCTTAGCCTTGCTGTGCCAAGAGGCACCAGGATGTGCTTGCAGCTGCTCCTCCCAGCCTTGGCAGCTGTGGCACAGATTCCTGATAAAGTCTCAGGTCTCTCTTCCTCCTGTTTTTTCATCCTGGGCTTTGCTGGCTCTCCCTCTGAGGACTCTCTCCCTCCCTGCCCCTGATGTGGTGGGGTTTCTGGGCTGGACCAGGGCTGGGGGAACTGAGGCACTGAGGCTTTCTCACAAGGAAGAGGCTCAGCCTTGGTGCCCCATGCAGCTCTGCTCACTGCAGAGCTGTCTTAGAGGCTGGAGCTGTGGGGGCCCCATGGCATGTGGCTGAACCTAGGCAGTGGCTGACTGTTCCTGCTGCCACCTGTGCCCAGAATAGGAGCTGTGGGCAGGCAGACAGCAAGCCTGGTGCTGCTGTCACACTAAAGGGGACCAAGCAAGCAGTGCCCCAGGCACCCAGGAGTGGCTGTTAGCTGGGAACACCCTCCTTGTGCCACTTGGATATAACTTGCCATTGACTTGCTTCTTTTGCTGTTCTTTTCCCAGTCCTCAGTATGCTCCAAGATTGTCCAGCTGCTGGGGCAGAATGAGGTGGACTACCGCCAGAAGCAAGTGGTGATTGTGAGCCAAGACAGCTTCTACCGGGTCCTCACCTCGGAGCAGAAATCCAAAGCACTCAAAGGCCAGTTCAATTTTGACCACCCAGGTGAATGGAGAACAGCACTTGGGGCTCTGCCACGCAGTGAGGGGTGATGGCTGGAGTAGGACTCCCAGTTCCACCAGCCAAGAGTCTCCATGGACACTGGGACTCTGTCTCTGCATGGGGCAGGAGTGGGTGGCTCAGTGGAGTTGGCTGCATCCCTGGCAGGGTGGCTGGAGCCACCTGCATCCCCTGCAGTACAACCTCTGTATCTCTGAGGAAGAAACTGCCTTAGGAGTGAGGTGTCTGTAATGAGAAAGAGCAGGTTGTGAACCCTCAAACTCCTTGAGATGCTTCTCTTCCTGCAAAAGCATCCCCCAGCTTGAACCTTTTTCATAGAATCATCAAATAGTTTGGTTTGGAAGGGACCTTAAAGCTCATCTTGTTCGAGCCCTCCTGCCATGGGCAGGGTCACCCTTCACTAGACTAGGTTGCAAAGGAACAGATTGCCTTTTGGAGCAGCTGGGTCAGCCCAGGAACATCTGGCCTGGCACAGCCCCCTGGAGCCAGCAGCTTCATGTCCCTCCTTCAAGGAGAGAACCGTCTGAGCAGCTGCTCTGCAAAGCCCTCTACAGAGGGGGCCATGGCCTCTTACCACAACAGGGCCTCTTTGAACCATCTCCAGGCTTGGTGGGGAAATTCCAGAGCTGCTGTCCCTTCGTCCCCACGAGGACAATGGCCGGAGGCAGCGAGCACTGAGCAAACAGAGCCCTGTCTGTCTGGCGACTCGAGGCTGGAACACTGCTCCAGTCTCCCCAAGGGCTGGAGCCCTGGAGGAGATGCCTTCCTTGTGCCTGGGCTGTCAGCACTGCTGTACAAGGGTGGTATTGATCTCTGTGGGTCACATCCCAGGCTGGTGCAGAGCCATGAAGCTTCATGGCTCTGGGAGAGCTGGGCCTTGCTATGCCCATGGGGAGGTGCAGGGCTTTCCTCCCAAGTCTGTGTGTCTGTCTGTTCCTGGTGCAGGGTGCCAATGACTCTGGCTCGGCTAAAGCTCAGCATCTGGTGGGTGGGAGAGGTTGCAAAGCTGCCTCGGGTAACGTTTCGTCTCTCCTCAGATGCCTTTGACAACGAGCTGATCGTGAAAACACTCAAAGAGATCACAGAAGGGAAGACGGTCCAGATTCCTGTCTATGACTTTGTCTCCCACTCCAGGTCTAACATCTGCTCCTGCCTTGCTGTGCCTCTGCTAACGCCCTGCGGCGCAGCCCTGCCAGCTCCAACTGCCCCACTGCTCGCGCCTGCTCCTAGGCGCCTAACCTGCCAGCTGAAAGTTTCCATCCTAACCACTCCAGCCCCCTTGGTCAGAGGATCCAGGGCAGATACAGGCACAGCCTGAGGGTCTGGAAAGCTGTGTAGACATGCAGTGACATACAGGCATCAGTGGAAGGGGGTTATGGCCTCCCTTTCCTTCCCCCATCCACGCTGCCTCTCCCCATAAACTCAGGTGTTTGCAGGTTTAACAAGTATTCCAGGCTCAAACAGCTTGGTACTGCCAGGAAAGGAGGAGGGTGACAGTTCTTGTTCCTGCAACTCTTCCCTTGCATGTATTCAGCTTGTTTTTGCATGCCTGTGTTGGTCATGGATGGTGTGACCCTGCTGTTTCCCATGAAAGCTCTGTGGTGTCAGGAAAGTGCTGCCTGCTTCCCAGGGAAGCAGAGCTGGCCGTGCAGGTTCCCGTGGGTCAAGCCCCATGCACTGGCTTTCTGGGCTTTACAGCTTGGCACATAACACTTGCAAGCAGCAGCTGACTGAGGTGGGTGGGAGAAGGGCTAGTGTGCTTCCTGCTCTGCCCTTTATCCTTCCAGGAAGTGTACATATGCCTTGGATTCCCTTCACGGCGGTGGGGTAGGTCTGCCCTCTCCTTGGTCGCCCCCCTGGTGCAGCAGTGATGTCCCAGGGTTGGAGCAGTGCCTAGGAGCACCGCTGTTTCCCCCCCACACCTCTCTTGACTTGTTTCCCCTCCCCCCAGCATATTCTGACTTTCCTTCCCCCTGCTAGGAAAGAGGAGACGGTGACTGTGTACCCTGCTGACGTGGTGCTCTTTGAAGGCATTCTGGCCTTCTACAGCCAGGAGGTGCGGGACCTGTTCCGCATGAAGCTCTTCGTGGACACGGACGCAGACACTCGGCTGTCCCGCAGAGGTGAGGCCTGAACGTGCCTTGTGCAGCAGGGACAGAAATATCCCTTAACTGATGTGGGCAGCTGGTCTCAGAGGCAGGTGACGGTGACCAGAGCAGAACTGGAGTTGACACAAAGCTGTGCTGCAGCTAGCAGAGGGCTGAGGAGCTTTCCCTCTGCAGTGCAGAATGTCACATAGGGCAGCTCGGGGCAGTGGAGTGCACCCTGCTCAGTATCTGTTGGGATTCCGTGGGATTTTTGCTGCCTTGTCTGGGATTCCTGCTTTGATGCATGCAGCAGTGTGACTACTGAGCATGCCGTGTCCTCACATGGCCTCGTGGCACAGCCCTGTGCAGAGGGCTGAGGAGCTTTCCCTCTGCAGTGCAGAATGTCACATAGGGCAGCTCGGGGCAGTGGAGTGCACCCTGCTCAGTATCTGTTGGGATTCCGTGGGATTTTTGCTGCCTTGTCTGGGATTCCTGCTTTGATGCATGCAGCAGTGTGACTACTGAGCATGCCGTGTCCTCACATGGCCTCGTGGCACAGCCCTGTGCCAGGAGCGGCAGCTCTGCTGCCAGTCAGCAGGTACCAGCAGGGAAGGGTACAAGACAAAGCTCCTCGACAGTTCAGTCAGAAGGCAGTGCCTGATGGATCCTCTCAGGACCTGGGTGTGGGTGTGCTCTGAGGATGGCATTTGGGGGTGAGGATGTCCATCACGGATGGTGCAGATGGGGAATCTGGTTGTACATCTTGGTCTGTGCAACACAGTGTGGAGCCTCTTGGTGGTACTTGGCACTGGGCTGATGGTTTGGGGGCAAAGAGCCCTAAAAACCAGACTATCCCTCACTAGGATTCCCCATGTCCAGCTGGCTTGGCTGTGGGTTGCCAGCTGAGATAGGAAGGACTCCCAACTCCACAGGATCTGCATGGCTTAAGATGCCATTCATTTCAAAGCAGACTTCAGGAGTGGGGTCACTGATATAGCACCTCCTGGGTGACTGAGAAAGCATCTGGGGACTCTTGGGGCAGAACTCACTTCTGTCTGAACTGTCCCTGCCCCTGCCTGGCTCTGACAGGCTCCACAGGGTGTCTGGGGATGCAGAAGATGACTTAGAGGAGAGGCTCCTTCCAGAGCTCTGCTGTGACGAGAGGAGCGTGTCTCAGTGCGTCAGTCTGGGACTGTTGTGTGCATGGGACTGTTCACTCTGCAGTGGAGCTGGTCTTGCCTGCCCTCCTGCTGTCAGACAGATACACAGCTGCCTCAGCTGCTGGGATGTCATCAGTGCTGATTAAAATCTCCTTATTATGCATCCTTCTTGACCCTGCCCACTGTTCTTGTATGACTCATCCAGGGAGGTGACAGCACAGTCATTGCAGGGAGATGTATTAGCAGGTCACAGATAGACAGTTTCAAGATCCCAAAATGTGAGCCTTAATCGCTTTAACAGACTGTGCTGTGGAGGAGCTTGTGTCCACACCCAGCCACAGGGCAGCACACTGTTGTGGTGTAACCCCATCCAGCAGCTCAGCCCCACACAGCCACTCACTCGCTCCCCACCAGTGGGATGGGGGAGAAAATCAGGAGGGTAAGAGGGAGAAAACTTATGGGTTGAGATTGACACTTTAGTAGGTGAAGCAAAAGCTACAGGTAAAGTGAAACAAGGAATTTATCACCACTTCCCATGGGCAGACAGGTGTTCAGCAATCCCAGGAGAACAGGGCTCCATCATATGTAATAGTTATGTGGGAAAGCAAATGCCGTCACGTCGAATGTCTCCCCTTCCTCCTCCTTCCCCTAGCTTTATATCATCATATATGTAGTATAGAACATCCCTTGGGTCAGTTGGGGTCCACTGTCCCAGCTGTGTCTCCTCCCCTTGCTGCTGGGGTGGGGTGAGGAGCAGAAAAGGCCTTGGATCTGTGTAAGCACTGCTTGGCAATAATGAAAACATCCCTGTGTTATCAACGCTGTTTTTAGCACAAATCCAAAACACAGCCCCATACCAGCTACTGTGAAGAAAATTAACTCCATCCCAGCCCAAACCAGCACATTCTCCATCCCTTACTCCAAACCACTTATATCATGCTCAAGTCCCATGCCATCCAGTATGTTCTCATTACACACCACTTTTCTTCCCATCCTTTGATATAACATGCAAATATCATTACCCTAGTTTACGAACCACCCCTGTAAAATGTCTCCCAGGTGTCCACTGAGTTCATTTAGTCCATGACTTTGTTATAGTGGTCAGTCGTGACAGGAGAGATGGTGTGCTGTGTGAAGTTAGTGAGCACCAAAGCCAGCTCAGGTTAGATCACTGCTGTGCTCGCACTGCTTCTTGTAAGGCTTGTACTTCTCCCGCTCATCATCAATCACTAAAGCCTTGCAAAGGGCAGCTTGGCTGGTTGAGATGCTGGTACCTCCTCGTTAGGGCAACTCATCATTCTACTGGTAGAAATCTGGCCATTTGCTTGCTGTCAGCAGTTGGTGGGACCACTGCAGCAGCAAATCTGTTTACTGTATGTCTCCCTGGCATTTCTGGGAGAGGATAGCCTGTATGTGAGCTACCAAAGGTATAATCACATCCCTGGAATGTAGCTGAAGGCAGCTTGTAGCAAAAGTCAGGATCTCGCATTGTCATGTGGCCCTGAGTCATCTTTCTGTCACTGAAATTCTAAAGGTTTGCAGCAATGGGTTTTTCAGCAGGGCAGCAGCAGGAGGTTCGTGGTAACACAGCTGACAGTCCAGTTACTCAGTAGTGCTGGGGTTCAGTGTGTGCAGCTCACACTGGGCCCATCTCAGAACCTCTCCCAAGAAAAGTGCTGCTAGCGGAGTGCAAGGGGCAAGGTCTGTCAGGTACTTCAAACAGCCTGATCCATGGGATCAGGGACCTGATTCTGGCTGAGGTCCCTCACTGCCCTGTCCTTGGCCAGTTTCCGTAAGATAAAGACTAGGTCTGGTGTCGCATGCATGTTTTGGGCCTGATTTGAGTGATGTCTGCCTGCTGGCTTCAAACAGGTGCCACTCTGCCCTTGGCATATTTGCCTGTCCTGCAAGTAATCCCTCCAGGTACGTGCGTGGTCTTAGCTTGCATTTCTGGGACCTGTTGCTTTGGGGCCAGGTACAAGAGAGCAGATGCTTGGCTCATGTTTGTGTGTGGGATGATTGCCCTGCTGTGGTGTGCCCTGGGAACAGGCAGGAGAGCTTTGCCTTGTCAAGACCAGACTCTGCAGCCTGGATACTCACCCTGTGGAGTCCTCAGGCCTCCTGCACGTGTTGTAAGTACACCCTCAGTGCACTCCCTCCCTCCCTGGAGCAGCCAACAAATAGGGTGTGGGACCTGGGAAACAAAAGTTTCTCTGTTTTAGTTTCCATGCCTGTTTTTCTGTATTGTTTGAGCTGGGACTTGCCCCTGCTCTCTGGAGAAGCTGGCTAGAGCAGCCTTGGCTCCTGGAGCAGGCAGTGAGCTGGTACACATCCTGCTGCCAGCCCTTGTTCCCCCCATCACCTCCCCTGTGTGGGGCTGCAAAAGGGCATGCTGCAGAGCTGTTGGCCAAGGGCAAACAGAGCCATGGGGCCAGTGCCAGACCAGCACTGTCCTGGCCCTGCAAGCACAGAGGCAGAGGTTGCTGAGCAGGTCATGCAGGCTGGCAGTGCTGTGCCTTGGCTCTGCTTGGGATGTGGGGAAGGCTCACTCCGAACCCAGTGCCAGGCACTACTAGCATGCTGGGGAGAAGCCAGCCAGCCCCTTGGGGGGAGCCAGGAGCCATCTGCTTGTCCACAGGGGACCAGCACTGTCCTGGCCCTGCAAGCACAGAGGCAGAGGTTGCTGAGCAGGTCATGCAGGCTGGCAGTGCTGTGCCTTGGCTCTGCTTGGGATGTGGGGAAGGCTCACTCCGAACCCAGTGCCAGGCACTACTAGCATGCTGGGGAGAAGCCAGCCAGCCCCTTGGGGGGAGCCAGGAGCCATCTGCTTGTCCACAGGGTTGTCTCTTACCTC